AAGCGCCATTCCGACTCAAGATCCGCCTGCTCCAGGCGGAGGCGATGGAGGCACTGCTGTACGGCTGCATGACATGGTCACCACTCAGCGGCCACTATCAGACGCTGCGGTCGATACACCACCGACTGCTCCTTCGAGTTATCGGGTAGAAGCGCAAGAAAGACACCTACCGGCAGCTCTCTTACGCCCAGACGCTGAAGATGGTCGAATGCCAGAGCGTTGAAGCCATCATCCGACAACGACGCCTGTTATTCGCGGGAGCATTGGCAAGGCAGCCGGACGGGCGACTCCCGAAACGACTGATGTTCGGCGAACTGGCGGGGGGGGAGAAGCCACGTAGGGGAGGACAGGAACAGAACTGACCGAAGTGTGTGCTCGACGACCTGAAGGCATCCGGGGCCGACCACGGATCTACGAAAACCGATCCATGTTGTCTCGGAATCCCGGTACCGAAAGACACGGCACCGAAGTTAAAGTGGACGGAAGCCGCGAAGGTGGAGGGGGGAGTACCCTGGCATGCGGCGGTGCTGCAGGGAGCTGAGAGGTTCATGACCTCCTGGCACGAGAAGGAAGAAGAGGCCAGCCGACAATGGGCGCTCAAACGGAACCACAAGCCAACAGCCAATGGGGCGGAAGGCGGGCAGGAGACGGACGAGACGGCGAGGGAAGAAAGCAAACGAGAATAGACGGACCGAGTGGCGCGGCACGTGCCGGAATAAAGTTCTTTTAGCCCATTCCCCCGCCCAACCCTGCACCATTGCACCAACTCCCCACTAGTGATGACGTACCACTACAATGTATCGCTGGTTGGTGGCCATGTTTGCGTGTTTGCTTGTTCGTTAGTGGTTTCTCCACCGTGTGCCTTTTCTTGTTATTTTCGGCCTGGTCCCTTTCTGTCTTCCCTGTTTTCATTTTGTTGTCTCGTTCCTTACTCTGTTTCCTTTCATTATTTCTCTTTTTCTCTGTTTTCTTTTTTCTCCCTTTTTTCTCTCTTCTATACCAGATGGGCTTGTCTCTGCTTGCGTTGTGAAGTATCAATATTGAACCAAGGGGGTGTACCTCTTTCTCTCCGGCCTACGATGGTGACTCCTAGTCTCAGTTGTTACCTCGCATAGCGCGCAGAGGGAGTGGAGGACTCCAAAATAGCTGTCGTTGATTTCTATTGACTTGCGGACCCCTCGGGGCCAGTATATTTAAGTGTACCTTTAGGGTAGGTTAACCTGTGACCACGGGAATCGACCGCGTCGAGTGTTGGATCAGTACGGACATACGAAGGTTCTGGGTAGAGAGAGATCGGAACGGTTTTTAATGTGAACACAACAACAACAACAACTCGGCAGAGCAAAAAACGCTCAGCCGGGCGAACTTGCATTTACTACTGCTGCTGCTGTAGTCCTCGAAGCAACAACACCAACCCACATCATCATGAACGAATAATGACGTACAACGCAACATCATGCGTACGCTACCATCACCGATGTCACATAGGCACTGCAGCAAGCATCATGCTCATGCCCATTCCCTGGCAGCACCCATCGTCTCTCATACAGCAGCCGCGCCGGATGCACAGGTAGCCTCTTTGCTCAAAAGAAAAAAAAATCAATCAATCGCGGTTGGTTGTTTGTTGGTGATCTTGACGTGGGGACCCCACCGGCGAAAAGCGAGGCGAGAAGAGAGCGAAAGAAAACAAAAGCCATCACCCCCGAGAAGATACCCACTTACAAGGCATAATGCACTCTCGAGAAGGGACCCACCCCCGTCCCTCCGACCACAATGACTGAATCTCGGCCGAGATCAGCATTATTTGAGACCCTGCCGGGCAAAGGGTTGGTCTATGCGAAAAAAAATGATAGGGACAGAAAAAAAAAAGTGAAATTTGACGTCGATAGAGGCCCAAGCTTGGGAAAAAAGTACGTGACCTTACCGAGCAGAGAGGACGAAGGGCAATAATGCAACTATCCATGGACCAACCCCGCAGTGTCTGCTCGCTGCTACTAGATTGTTAGATGGACCATCTTTTTTGTTGTTGGAGACCATGACCAATTGACTTCTTTTTCGCGCGAACAAGTTGAGACGACCTGACGCACACGCAACAGGAAACAGATATCGAAACAGCACCGGGACCGACCATCACGGCGGGAAAAAGAAACGGGAAATTTCCCGACGTGTACCTTGGAAATGTCCCCGGGAATTTACCACCACATTTCGGTGGTACCAGGAACCAACCGCCGAAGGCCGTACCGCCGAAAAACGAAATTCCGCATCCGCCAAAAAAGTATCGTCATACTGCCAGACCGCCGAAAAACCCCACCATAGTTCAAGTGCCTGCCGTGATCCGCAAAATAATGGTGGTACCAACAGCGAAGAAAGTACCAGGAATCGCCTAAAAGTAGTAGTGCCTTGCTTCGTGTGACGTCATTGTACACAAGGACACAACAAACGGCACTTGACTAAAAATCAACTGGGGAAGCAGCCGTGGGCACACGGCAATCTATTATTGAATTCCCTGCGACAACGTTTCGTGCGGGAATGCTCCCCGCGAAATAGAGACAGTCGCGGCGACTTGAGGCAGCCATTGCACGTGCCACGGATCGCTGACGGTCCTCGGGTATGCACTGTAATGTACCGACGACTTCCCTTTTTTTGCGTGCGCCTGAGAAGCGAGAATGAGACAAGACTCGCTGTCGCGAGAGAATGATGCCAAAAACATTGTACATGTACAAGCGCATCACTTGCCGGAGGAAACTTCTGTGCGACCTAATATCATAGAGACAGCCGACGTCAGGGCAACGTATGTCCAAAGGGTACATGTAGGCCAGAACAATCCTCACCGTATATCAGCGATGTCCATAGGGAGGGTAAAAAAAATCGTCACGCCCGTCCAGCAACGAACCAAAACAAACAGACGCAAACAATCTGGTGGCATGGGTTTGGGGCGGGTTTTTTTCCTCAGGGAGATCGTGTGTAACTTTGAAAACAAGTTTAGACATACACCCGCTAATGCGTCGAGGTGGGGGCCGCATGTGGTGGTCGAATTATTCTATACACAGTGCATCCTCTGCGCAGGCAAGAAATGGCGGCGAGAGTGAACACCGTTTGGCGTAGAGCGGGAAGAAAGTACGACGGCGGGCGGTGAGTAGCAAGGGAGCACACCACGGGTCTTCGTGACAAAGCATCGGCGACCTCCGTTCGCTTCCATAAAACTCAATCTTCAACTGGAAAATCAAATCCCGCACTGTTTTCTGTGGAAGATGAATTGCGAAAGAATAAACAAAACGAAAAGCTCGACATGCAGCGGTGAACGCCGCCCTTGGCGCCACACATGCACAAGCTAGGGTTCAAGTGTTTCATACCAAAGTTGTTGTCTCGCCAGCAATTGTCCATGTGCTGACAGTAGACTCCTGCAAAGAACAACAGCTATCCCACCATATTTCCACTTGTCGGGTCGCGCGTAAGAAAAATCCGGAGAAGGGAGAAGCGGCACCTCCCGTCGCTGTGCTTGCAACCGACGGCGTACTTATGTGCTGACTCCACACACACCGCTGCGTCGCACGCAATCCATTAGCACGGCACGCAACGATGGTGCTTCTCTTCATGAGGTCGGATTGCTTCGGGTACTGCAGCGGGGCTCATTAACAGGGGACGTGGCTTGCTGCACACGAAGGAACACTATGTAGCGAACGCCTCGACGCTACATCACAGCGTCGAAAGTGACAGGTAGGTACAAGTCTGCTTGTCTCAGTCAAGGGCGAAGCATACTTGTGTTGAAAGCTGAAAAAATCAGCGGTGCCCACCTTGGCCTGCCATGTCGACAAGGCGTTCCATTAGAAGCTGGGTGCTTCCCCGTAATCATACCGCACACCTCCGTGGGATTGGTCTAATCAATTAAGCCCCAACCCTTCGTGCGCTGCAAACGAACAACGCGACACGCCGGATCTTCGCCAAGGCGGTATGCCACGTTGTCCCTTCATTTTCGTGGCAAGTACCCGCGCGAACGGTCACGACCCCACACCAACCCTCATGCTTCCAGCGTTGTCGCCGCCTCCCCGCCGGCCTCCCAAGCCGCGATCTCATCCTCGTCCAGGAAGTCCTCCATGTTCCTTCCGTCAGACACGATGAGGTCACCATCGTCAGCCGCCGCCCCCGACATCAGCACAAGCTCTTCTTCGTCCTCGTCTCCTACGGCGTCTCCGTCTTCCTCGCCCACCTTCTCGCCGAAAAAGGGGGGGAGCGGGCGTCGCTTCGGGTGACGGCATGTTCGACCATAAAAACAAAAACGCCTGACACCCCGACAAAAGAGGAGACGGAGCAGAGGCCTAGGGGTAGATTGCTGAACCGGAGGGCATACTGTGAAAAATACTCCTACAGTGAACCGTTTCACCACTTCCGCACATACTAAGCATTAACGTGCGATCGTAGGCGTACTTCATGTGTGGTCATCGGTCGACTGGCGTACAGTCTTCGTTTTTCAGTTGGCTGTGAACACACTACATAGAGGTCACCGTAGTTCGCTCGGTCTGGCGTGTGCCCATCCAGCGAAACGACGAGAAACGTGGTCTCGATGAATGGATGTATGGCCAGAAGGGCGCGGTGAGAAGCAGTCGAACCAAACAAATTGGGGGGGTAAACCAACACCGGAAAAAGATCGATAGCCCCCAACGTGAGGGGCCTTCAAACGGTAATTCACTAAGGGAAGAGAACGAAATGGAACAAAACGAAAGGCGAAAATAGCCAAGCGTCGACTATACCGCGTAGCTTATCGAGTGGACCACGTATTTCTCCTCGATCGCGCTCATGTCTCTTGGGGAGGTACAGATTGAATCGGCCGAGATTTCACAAACAGCAAAACAAATAAGCTTGACACAGCACCGATCCCCTACCTTTTCCCGACCAAGGCCCCCAAAAAAGTGGGTCAGAACGTTGTCGTGCAAAATGCTTCATTGCAATGGCCACCAACTCTAGTCGCCCTCGTGAAAACTAGTTCCGCGGAAGAAAAAATACTTTGTCAAGCTAGGGCACGCAGAATAGAAACAAGCGACGAATTCGGGCTAAAGCCTCCCAGCACATCAAAACAAACCCGCAAGGCGTCCGAGAACAAAGCCAACCACTCACACACCACAAGCCAACCAATTAAATCCCCTCGCTCCTGCATCAGCGACCAACAAAGCACCGGCGGTGCTAGAAAAAAAATGTTCACCTCGGTGGTGCTAGCCCTGAGGAGGTATGACGTGTCGTCGGACACGGGGAAGCGGTCGAGAGAGTCAGCCGCCAGCCTCGCACGGTCCTTGAGCACCGCCGGAAGCCCAGGCTGCGGCGCAATCAGCCACACGAAGAGACACATGGTGCGGCGCAATCAACCGCACGACGAGAGACATGGCGATCCAAACATGGACAATGGGGGGAGGGGTACACCTCGCGTAATGCGAAAAGTTGGAAACGAGACCAAAGAAAAAGGGACAGCTGAAACAATGTTAGACACGATTTTTCCGGAGTCAGCCACCATGGAATTCTTTGGGGGCAGCACATAAGTTCCGGCTGCCTTAATGCCTCGCCGCGGGTACTAACATGCTGGCAGTAGGTACGTGCGTCCTCAAATTTACAGTGTCGAGAATGCAGTGCTTCAACGCGGGAGGACTTGTGCCAGATGGAAGGCCGTGGTGAACGGTGTTCATTGCTCGAGACATCCGACAAGGATTGTTCTTGAACTGAAGCGACTCATAGAAATGACAACGAGACACCTCTCTACGGGATATTCAACTATCAAAGGCTGTGCTAGCCAAGTAGTACGCACTAAAATCAACTTGGGGCATGAACACCAGGCGAAAGCCATGTCAAATACTTTGGGCACCTTGGTACGGAATTCCATAACTATAGTCGATGACTTGTTCGGGAAAATATATATTCTCATTCCCGGCAAATACCCCAGGTACCTGGTACGGCGCTGTTCGAACGCTGATTGCGGGTACGGGTCGTGTACAACCAGACGAACAGCAGTGGACGCTTTGGAAAGCTTGTAACTACTCGTGCGCGACATATTGGGACGGCAAGACTCTTTTCATACGCGCGCCGAATAATACGCAAAATTTACTGGATTAACACCCGTTACCGTGTCTCCAATGACCAGAGACTACCAACAAGGGGCGCGAACCATTGTACCATTGTATCATGACTGCGAAATCTACAACCACAACCACAACAACAACAACAATAGCGACGACGACAGATATAATGGGGGCCAAGAGCACGCAGCCTCTATCCTCACCAGGACGGGGATCTGTCGGAGCATCTCCATGGCTCTTCTCAGTATTCGACAGAGGTCGCCCTGGTCCAACGACGTGCTCGCGACGAGCTCGCTCCAGTCACACCCGTTGGCCCAGCCCTCCACAAGCCCGCACAGCTTGCTGTCCAATCGGACGGGCTGCTCCACCTGCGAAAGGTTTACAGCGGTTTCGTTTGGCCAAAGACAGGAGGAGTTTCGGGAGAGGAAAACCTCGAGGTTGGGTGTCCCCATACGTCTAGCGGGGCGCTATGCGGCCCGTTGCGTTGCTGCATGCCAACAAGGGCAAAACATTGCGATGCTACATCGAAAATTGACGGTGGGCGGGATAACTCGTGGCAGTGTTTCGTTCGGCTGAATGACGCCGCTCCAACACTCTGGTGGCATCACTACTGTGGGCTAGCTAGTTTTGAGGGCTCTCACCTGCTCCAGCATCTGGATCTCCGAAAGCTCCGACGCGACGGGGGCAAGCTCTTCGAGGAATGCCGACACACCCTGGGAAACACGGAAATAACCCCAGGAAAACGGTTTGAAACAAACCACCCCAACTCGATACACGGGGAAACGCGCCATCAACGACAAAGAACGAATCGTTGTGGGAAAGCCGATCGAAATACGAACTCAACAGGAAACGGTGTCCAGCAAGATAAACGCAAACGATTGCGGAGAGACTGTCTGTATCGTCGAGCGAGCGACTGGCGTTTTCTTTTCATGCCCGTTCGTGCTGGCGGTTTTAGAAAAGATACGCACAATCACAGAAAGAATACCCATTCAAGGGGATGTGAAGCTTGACGTGTGTGTGGGTGTTTGTGGTTGTCCAGGAAGCCATGTTCCAGCGTATGATTCTGCAGGTGCTGCGGCAGTGGCAGCTTTTCCAGCAAGAAACATGCGCCGATGACCGCGTCCGGAGAGAGGATCGGTCGAACAAGCAATGGTATCAGCGTCAAGAGTTCCTACTTGCCGCTACCACCACAGACGGCTGTTTGTTGATGGCCATCACCCCCTCCCATCATTGATTCAGTTTTAGTTTTGTTACTTCATTATTCTACCTTGCTATCGCCGGTGGAAATCCCGAGTATCAAGACTCAACATTGACCATAGACTGAAAGCATCAAACAAACACCACGCACACAGGAAGCTCAAAAAACATACCAGGACACAAAGCAGGCAGTGCCAGCCGGCTCGGGTCACTCACCTCCGATGGCCCGTAGAGAGTGAAGAGGTCGGGCCTGGTGTACTCGTTGAGGATGGCCGGCATCAGCGACGCGAGCTCGGTGTACCCAAGCTGGAGGATGCTCTTCCTGCCGGGAGCAGAATGAGACATGACACGAGGGAAGAAAAATTCAAGGGTCTCTCCGAGTATGTGTACTCACGATCATGCAAGACGTAGTCATGAGACCACCGGCCTCGCCATGCCGGGGCGGAGTACGTCTTTCGTGGTTCCATTGGCTGGGACATGCTGAAAAGCCTTTTCGCCAAAGCAGGCAGCGACATGATGCGTTCGACGATTCGTTTGAACGGGTGAGGTGCATCCTGCCAACGGCGTTCGACATCGTTCCTCTCCACCCTTGGCACTATCGTCGCCCTACACAGGTTTTCAGGTTTCACGTAGCGAAGGAAGCGTCAGTGCGTGTTCCACAGCGTCGTTCCCAGCCGAAGCCATCCCTCCCGAGGGGCTCTCTCCCAGGGTTTCGTGAGGGGAGTTGACACACATCTTCCCGAATCGGACGTCGGCCAGTCCTTGTGGTGACAGACGCCCAACCTCTTGGATACCCGTTCAAGCGTCAAGCGAAGTAGCTGCTGCAAAACAGGCAAACCAACCACGATGACATCCCACCTCCATTCGTGTTTTGGCACGCATATTTTCCGGTCACATATGCCTGAACAAATACATGAGTCACTCTTGACACTTCGTGGCCTACCTCGTTAGTACGAGCGCCATCCACAGCTCATTCTCGGCGTTAATCGAGCCCACCATCCTCCCGAAGGCGGTGGGCTTCGGTTCCCCCCACTTTTTCTTCGCCCTCTTGCTGTCCGCCTTTTTGTCGCCGCCGCTCTCTGCTGCTGCCCCGGAAGCCGCGGCGCCGTCCTCCTCCCCTGACGCGTCCTGAATCGACAGAAATTACGCCGCACCGTGACAGCGACTCAAGCCGCCGGGAAAAAAACATACAATCCCAACACCTTCCTTCTAAACCTTCCCAGCTAAACGTACAGCGAGATACACACAACGGTCTACCAAACTGTCTTGTTGAGCCTGTTACCCACAGGGGAGATATCGCTTTGTGCTGCTAGGGAAACCGTCGACATACAGTTAGCTTCCGCTTTCGCTATGAATTCATTGCCAATTTATCATGCTCTTTTCCATAGATAAGAGATGAATTCGTTTTGTCATATTCAGGGAAAAAAATATAATAATGGACAGTTACATGTAGCAAATTCCTAATCCCTCATGTTGTCAGAAACGCCTGCCCCCCCTCCGTCACGCGCACCGTGGATACTTCTGCGTCCTTGAGCGCGTCGTATCTCTTCAGGACCCGGCACACGGCGAGGAACTCGTCCCAGGCGGGCTGCTTGAGCTTCTGCTCCGTCTTCCACCCCTGCCGGACCTGGCCGCAACAGGCACGGGGCAACAGAAACACCGTAAAAAAACGGCGTACGAATGCCGGCAGCGCGAACGTGTCCGGGGTTCCCGGCTCATACGTCGGGGGGATCGTGAGCCCAACGAAACCATGGCCCGTAGACGTTCACGAGGCGTGCGCCCAAGCGGTTTCTGCAGATGGGCTCCAACATAGGCTCGTCCTTGTTGGTGGAGGGAAGGGAGGGCAAGCTTCGCTACTCTCCCGAGACATTGTTCAAAATTATCCACCGTCGTGCACACCCCATATCAAGCAGGACCGCCGATTGCATAGTCTTGGGCAGCCACCCCTCTAGCGATAGCATCCGTCAGCTGTGACACCGACAACGACCTGAACCACCCTGGGCGGAAAAATTCGTGTCCGCGTGGTCCCTGATGACGAATAAACTGGCACGCGAGCTACATCAGGCTTGACGCAAAAACAAAACACACAAAAAAAAACACACACACACAAAAAAACACCGCTGCACGTCAAGCCATCGACCCTCGGCATGCCGAAATTTGAAAAGCACCTGCTCTTCCAACGAGATGATCTCCTTGCTCTGTCTGGCCACGGACTCTGGGTCCTCCACGTGATGCGCCGGGTGATTCTCCATCTGCTCCGCCACACGACTCATCACCTGGCGAAGCCACCGCCGTCAAAGCGTTCGAGGCAGCAAAAACGCGTTCCGTATCGCAGGATCAGCGCGAACGCACCGGGAAACTAGGGTGCGCTGCAGATACAAGGCGATATGAATCTTCAACTGGCATGATGCATGACTGACAAGTGACGTCGAGAGCACCCACAGCGATGTTTGGATAGTATGATCGCCAAGAGGGCCACAACAACGTCAAGGGAATGGAAAGGCAGCAGCAATACTGTAGAAACAGCAGCAGCATGGAACCCATCACTCGGAAAGGTGTCAGGCGCCGACAGATTCTACCACTTCCGCGGTACAATATGGACGAATTATGATGACCAGATTCTGGGAGACTTCACCTGATATATGGAGCAAAACCTGCTACCGAAGCTACTTCAACTAACATTTCACTTCTACAAAAAAATTGTAAGATCCGGCAGTCCCATAGGTGCATGCCACGTACCGCCAGCAATTCAAACGAACCAAACTTCTTGCCCCACGTCTATCTGCCTCTGGTTGTAACTCCCCTTGCTGTCACCCCGTTGCCCGCCGTACGGAATCCCTCCTCGCTTCAAGCCAGTGATCCCACCAGCTCACCACCGATTCGCCCTACAGTCCCGACCCACTTCTCCACTGCAGCTAGGAAACATGGTGTATCCAACCGCACGACTTACTGTACCCTTTCGTTTTTTTCCCAAATCCCAGTCTGCGTTTCAAGCGGGAAAAATGGTATTTGTCTCTCCCAGAGTTGTTTCTGGCATGCACACGCCTGCTGTACCCTTTCTTGTCCCAAGCCTTACCTTTCGTTTTCAAACGGATATTACTTTCATTGCTCACCGAGAGCTGTCTCTGGATGTGACCGGGGACACGGGTAGCTGTCCCATCCTCATCCTCCAAAATACACAACCCGGCGTTGATAAGCGCGCTCGAGTCCCACCCCTTCGTCTCCTCCTCGGACGGAATCAGGGAGATCGCTTGGCCGTTCGCGGGCAAACCCTCCTCTGCCAACGCTGCTCGACACGGTAGGCGGACGAGGGGCCGAGGTGGCATGAGACATTGAAACTCGTGTAGCAATAAACAGGCCCGGTGTCATTGTTTTGGGCAGGCAAAGGGGGTGGGTATGACCGTAAACTGAATGGCAACTCTTCAAAAACATGCCCACTCGGCAACAAGAGGGTAAGGGCGGGCGGGGTGGGGGGGGTACACACGTACCCGGAGGCTCTCGGGGGAAGCGGTCCTCCAAAACAGCCAGCAACCCGGCCCTAGCCGGCGGTGCTGCGGCTTGAGCTTGCTCTTGCGATTCTTCTTGGTTGGTGGAAGAGACCCATGCCGACCTGGGAGAGACCATAATGGCTAGTTCTGCGGCCAGTGTGGCGCTGATTCCCGCCTCATGCCCGCAGTCGATTTTCCTCATCTGCAGGAGAAAAGCACGGCAGAGGGTGGCAGATAGAATTGCTAGATTTAGGGACTGCAAACCTCTTAGATCTTCCTCATCTGCACGGAAAAAAAAGAAAGGGGATGGCAAGCAGGACTGTCAAAGATGGGGATTACGAATCGCTCTTAGACCTACCTCATTTGCAGGAGAGAAAAACAAAAGGGGGTGGCAGGTAGGATCGACAGCATTAAGGGCAAAAACGGCTGAGTTCTGCCTCATTTGCACGGAGAAAACAGAGGGAAGCAAGGAGGTTTGCGATAACCCGTGCTAGTATCTGCCAAATCTGCAGGAAAACACGAAAGGGGGTGGTCGATAAAATTGCCAGAGTTGAGGACTGATAGCGCACTTCAATAGATCTGGTTCATCAGCTGAACATAAATGCGTTCTGATACATGGACCGCTACCGCCGCACCGCCAGTGCCACCGTACTGTACCTGGGACGGAAGAACAGCTTCCACTTTCCCGGAACGGTCCAGAATCAGGTACCGCCCCGTCGAAGAGCAACGCTCCCCGCCAGCTCCGCCCTCGGAGACGCCTCCATCGCTACTGCACATACAAAGCGAAAAGGTGGAAAAGCAAAGAAATGAAAAAAAAATAAAGAAAAGGGAACACAACACGAAGGACGCGCCCCGGTCAGCACACGACACCAGGGCGATCATAGAATGCCACTTCTTATCGTTCTGAAAAAACTGAACAAAAACGAGGGAGGGACAATAACAAGGCGATATCTTCGCGCACTCCTTGCCGTCTTGATGCCTTGGGTCGTATACCACACCCAATTGGCCCATTTTCAAAGTTTGATTTCGCTGCCCCTTAAATGGCGACGCTGCCCAAAACGGCGGATTTGGAACCGTCCTGTCGAGAGCTTGCCGGTGTCGATTGAAACTGGCACTTGGCACCCTCTTCGTGGAGAAGTAGAGCAGTCAAAAGTTGGTCCAGGGAGGATGGTATCGTATGTGACTTAAAAGTGAACGATTTCCTGCCCTGGGCACCGCGACGAACGTGCTACCGAACAGGAACAGACGAAAAAGCGAAACGCAACCAAGCAAATAATGTGCGAGGCTCATGACAGAGGCAAGCAACCGTGGAATTCTTCCATGCGATGCACCCTCAACACGATAGGTCTGGGTGCTCAACGGTCTAGAAAACATAGCCGTTCGCTTTGCGGTCACCACACCCGGCAAACTCGATCAACGCTTGCACAACTACACCACGCAACCTAAGGCTGGCGTACAGCGTCAGGCAGTTAGGCAACACGCAAACCCTGAAAACGCCAATCGATCTATATTGAAGACGATCGTCACCTCTGGCAGTCCAGGAGCTGCGCGGTCGCGCCGGCGGGCGCCATCTCCCCGAGCAGTGCCGAGGTTCGCCCGTCCGTGAGGGTGATGGCGGAGCCCAGGCGGGCCAACGGCAAGATGGTCTCCACGACCTCTTGCTCCGCCTCCCGGTCCTGGGAAATAAAAGGAAACAAAACATAACGCATGTCGATCGCGGTTGTGTGCTGGGGCCGGTCTCGGCTTGAGGAGGTGGAAAAGAGCCGAATGGGTATAGCGACGGATGGAGACAGGGACGACAAATACGAAGAGAGCAGAGCACGTGCAAGCTGGTGAGAACCAGGTCACAGTACTGAACGACTTGGGGGGGTGCTTCTACATCTTCGTCAACGCATACACAACCGCTAGACAACTTGGGGTGGAGGTCACTACGTCTTCGAATAAATACGTATATACACAACGGCGAAACCATACCTGCGCCTGAAGATAAGCCAGGATCCCCTTCTCCGACTCCATCCTCTCCCACAGCTTGCGGTAGAACTTGGCCTGTGGAAACGGGTCGGAAACAAACAAGCCATGCATGTCACCTAAACGGTACAAAATGGGCCGCCCGATTCCGCAAAGTCCTCGAAATCAAGGTCCAGCGCAACCTCTTGTTTCGCTATTTCTTCCATCTGATCGCACTATCAAGCCACCCTGAAATACCACAGGGCAGGCAATCACCAACGCCCATGGTGTCAACCGTGGGCGTGCATGCGACCGTTTACGTCCGCGCAAAAAAAGAGCAACGCTTCTGTCGTGTACCTCCGCTAGTGTGGTCCCCTGGAGTTGGTCCTTCAGCTCGTCCAGCTTTTTCTGGGCCTCAGAAGCTCGAGACTATTGGCGTCAAGAAACGAGGAGGGAGGGGGGGATAACACGGACCATAATAACAACAACAACAACAACAACAACAACAACAACAACAACAACAACAACAACAACAACAACAAACAACAAATAAACCAATCAACAAAGAGCAGCAAGCAACAAAACAACAAAACAACATCATCAAACAACAAATAAATCAATCAACAAAGAGTAGCAAGCAACAAAGCAGCAAAAAACAACATTATCACGCGTTAAGTAAACCAATCAACAAAGAGCAGTAAGCAACAAAACAACAAAAAACAACACAACGGCAACAGCATCCTTGGTGCATGACAACGGCCGACCAAACATCCAAAGCTAGACCCGCGACCAAGACTTCAGGGCGAGATGGCACCACGAACAGAAGCCACTGGCGCCAAATAGCTAGCTACCTGAGCAGGGCCGACCCTCTTCCGCCGCACGAAGTTCCCGAAGCTCTTCTCCACCAGCACCCTGGCAGAAGCCATGTCCCGAGTACGGAGCACACCGACAGCCATCCCGTAGCTCGACCTAACCGACATTGGAAGGAAACACCAGCACAAGAAGGGCAGCAGCAACAAGGACACCACTGTCGAGGCCTAGAAACGGAGGCAAGGCGGCGAAGACAACGGCTGACCGCGGTATAGGTAGGCGCAACCGAGATGGGGGAGGGAAACGGCGAACGGGACCGCACTCACGATAGCCGCCCAGCCCAACAACGACACATCGTGGCAACAAACGGAGAGGGACGGGGTCGGCAAGGCGATCAGGACCCCGAAACAGTAGTAGAACTTCCTTAACAAGGCCGCATGACCGGTGGCACAAGGAAGACAGAAAACTGCCCCCCACCTCCCCCGTACTGTCGAGGAGGGAGTACGTCGGTTGCAGCAGCCGTCTCACAGCAGCCGGTGCTCTCGACAAGAAACTGCCTCCAGGAAAAATCGCCCACCCTTCCACCATCACAACCACAAGACATCCCTCACTTGAATTGGGACTCAATACCGTCCATGGGCGACAGCAGCAGGCGGTGCGCCTCGATGCAGTCCTCGAACCGAGAGCGCATGAGCACCACCGACCCGGAAGAATCTTTCCCCCTTCGCCCAGCCCTGCATTGCATCGCACGTGTTGATTTGTCCTTGTTACTCATACTCATCGACGTTGTCATTGCTTATTTGTTGTTTGATGTAAGTGGTTTGTGTCAAAATGTTTGCTGTTTGTTGTTCGCTGTCGCTGTTGTTGTTCAGTCGGTGGGCTGTTTCCATCCCATTTTTCAATGTCGTTGATGGTGTTGGCGTTTGAGGGTGGTGGTTTCCGTTGCGTAGTTGTCGCTCAAGTCCTACCGACGGTTGTGGGCTTTCACCCTGCACCCGCGCCTTCTCTACCAAACCCATTATAAAGGACAAGATTTCCAACTTCGCAACGCAAGGTCACGCACAACACCAACAACCGCCGAAGACGAAAGTCGGATCGAGTCGTTAGCCCGCCATAGCAACGTAGACTATTTTGGATCCCCTCGAACCCCCCCCCGCCAACCCCGGTGTTGCCATCGGGGTTGGGTATTCGTCGCTTGGCAACGACGTTGTAAAACAAGCCCATTCACTTCGTGAGCTCGGCAACCAGGTTACCGTTTGTTTTTTTTTACCTCCGTTTTTTTTTTGCCGGTAACTATAATGGTGGCCGAGTAGATCATGTTGTGCGGGGTCGAGAACCCTCACTCCGCGCAAAGGGGGATGATCGCACCACCTTGTGTTAAAATGGTCAAGCACCCTCGAGGCAGTTACACAGAGCTTACAACTGTCTCAAGAAGTGAAAGCACCAGAAAATAAATTTAGTCATACCCGCTGTCATCCGTACGCAAGGAAGTAAGCACAAGATGCCGAAAACCCTTAGCAGGATGCAGCGCACCCTTCATGCGACTCGCCGAATACCTCACGGCGCTTCGCGCTTGGTGATGTGAGAGCCTGGTCCGGTGAGAACCCGGCGTGCTCCGTCCCGGCTTTGTAGGGATGCGAGGTCAATGGTCTAACGACTACGGCATGCCCGACTATGAGTACCCCCCCCCCCCCCCGCCAACCTGCGTGTCAAGAAGCTTGCCCACCTACCGTATACGACACAAGATAACACACCCCCTGGACCGAGTGTCGAAGCCCGATAACGCCAGGGCGAAGATGATGCATGGACGAAACGATACATTTTCGGAGAGCTCTCGACCAGACGGCTTAAACGCCGCCGCTTTCGTCGCTGCGACGCCTTCTGCTGTTGACAAATCGAGCTTTAAAAACGGTCCAGGGGGTGTGTTATCGTGTGTCAAATACGGTACAGTAGCTGTTAAGAGATAGGCGCTAGGTGAGAATCTGTCGTCTGAGCCTCGATTGACGCTAAGCGAAATTTCAAGGGTTCTAAAAGACCTATGCGTTCGGTGCGTACCGGCCGCCCATCTGCAGCAGCTGGGAAGGGTTGAGCTTGACGATACCGGTGTCGATGCGTTTGGAGAGGGTGGTTATGACGGTGGCCCTTGCGGGCATGTTGACGCCGGCGGCCAGCGTCTCCGTCGCAAACACCACCTAAATAACCCCAGGACGAAGGAGGAAAGAGAATTTACTTCCGAAGCACGAACAAGTTGAACGCGCAATATATTTTAATAAGGCGACCATGGAACCTTCGAATAGTGCCTGACCGCTCCGGCAGTAGTCGCTGGCGTACATCCAGGGTTGACATTGCGTGCTGCAAACGATGATTGCGCCCCCATTCATGTGGAGCATTCCGGTCAGGAAGACAAGCGGATGCCGTAGGAACAGGACTATATCCAATAACCGTCTCACTCGTTTTCACTCATGAAAAAAAAGGCAGGTCAAGTGGAAAGGATGGTCACAAACAGGGGGGAAACGCTCCGCATGTTTTCCCAGAGACGGGCGGGAAGGAAATGCAAACCTTTGTCAAGTATTCAGCCGAATGGGTCCTCCACATCTCAGGGGAGGGGGGCTTTTGCGGCACCGTGCGGCACCCTCGCCTGAATTGAGGGCGTCCTCGCCGACTCAAACTCGAAAGACATTTCCGTAGGCGACCACGTAACACGAAGTCACCATGCTACACGCCAGGCCACCAAAACGCCGAGATCATCACTGCGCCCCACCACACCAATAAGAGAGGGGGATCATAAGAGGGGGTTCCGTAGATTCACCACTAGTAGTCACCTTCACGAGTGCTTCCGCAAAGAGCTCCTCGACGAAAGACTTGAACACCGGAAGAAGACCTGTCTCGTGGTACACCACACAGGAGCAGCAAGAAATCCGGCGAAGACAAGGGTGTTTTCACCGCCAGTTCACGCAACCAGTGGCGAAATGACTAGACAGTGCATGCGCGACACGTAACACCATGTCGCGCGGAAGATGTTGAGGTTCTCGATAGGGGAAGGCGCTACTATAGGGTCGTGCCCCACCATCTGGAACATCCCACGGTGTCCAATTCCGACGGAACGCTGCTCCTCGACTCGGTACCGTTGTCAGTGAGTCGGAACCGGGTGTCTCAAATTTTTTTGAGCACGGCTTGGGGGGAGGAGTTATCTACGGNGGGGGGGGGGGGGGGGGGGGGGGGGGGGGGGGGGGGGGGGGGGGGGGGGGGGGGGGGGGGGGGGGGGGGGGGGGGGGGGGGGGGGGGGGGTCTTCGTGTACCTGCGTGGTGAGTGGAAATTCCGAGGAGGAGGAGCTGCCGCCAGGATTCGGGGATCGGAACCTGCAAAAAAACATACATTTTCATGAGAAACAACGAACTGACTTGACATGAGAGCACGAAAAGAGATTGAAGAAAGCGGGCGCGTGAAACAAAGAAACGAGGGTGAGTTCAGAGAGCGGGCGGGGATTGGGGGTTGCCAGATACGTTCCAATACGCGACACACTGGCAATGATGCGTCTGTCTGACGACAGCACTCTCTGTACTCCTCCCTCTCTCTCTCTGTCTCTCTCTCTCTCTGTCTCTCTCTCTCTCTGTCTCTCTTTCTGTGTATGTGTGTCTCTCTCTCTCTCTCTCTCTCTCTCTCTCTCTCTCTCTCTCTCCCTCTCTCTCTCTCTGCCTCCTCTCTTTCGCTCTCTCTCTCCCCCTCCCCCGCCCTCTCTGTCTCTCTGTGCGTGTCTCTCTCTCTTCCGCTGTCCGTAAGCGAAACCGTCCAGCACTAACAGCTACAAGCAACAACACCATCTTCTTCCTCTTCGCCTCCGATTCTCGCCTGGGGGTTGGCTTCCTGGAACGCTGTGAGACGCTCGTCGACCGTTCTCCGCTCCACAACGTTCAAGAGAGCGGTGGAGTCTTGTCCCACCTGGGTCAACAAACAGGCCAAAGAACGTCCATGGACGGCATTGCGTTAACGCACCGCAGCAACAACACGAAGCAAGCTTCAAAGAGTGTATCCGCTGAAAGAACATTTACGATGCTCTCGTTGTAGGAAGATGACGACATGCTCGAGGATTGTTGGCGCCTGCGCCCAGTACACCCGGGCGGTGGATTTGAGGGGAAATGTGAGACACAGGACGCGCCCGTACTTCAGAGACTCTTTAGCCGATATTCGTTTCTTACAGCAGGAGTTTGGGCAGGTCTGGCAGCCGGAGGGGGGGGCAGGAAATCTAGGCCTGCTGAGGTGGGCGATGGAGGAGCGGAGGAGGGATATCCGTGGACTAGGTCGCTGTCCGCCGCAGCAGCGGAGGGTGGCAAGATCGTGGTCCTTGAGGGGCAGGCCTCATCCAATCCAATGGTTGTAAAAAGTGATCGACAACGGTGTCAAGAACACAATAGTACAAAAACTGCACCCCGACGGTAGTGGTCACCTGCTTGGCCGCCTGGTCGCACCCCACGCGACTGAAGATGAACACAATCGCCGGAAGTAGGTCCTTCCGCGCCAAGCACCGCACCAGATACTGTCGAGGTTGTCGGTGTGAAATCAGACGGAAGGGACAAGAGCGCAGTGCGAACGTCGCAAAGGCAGAGCAAGGCAGAACGAGGCAGAGCAAGGTCAGAGCAAGGCAGAGCAAGTACGGCGTGAGCGAGAGGGCGAGGGGAGGGAGAAGCAGCGCGATCGCGGACAGAGAAAAGAAGGCGCACCTACCGACGGGAAAAAAAAAAAAAACTCATTTGGTTTTTCTCAAGAGAAACAACCAAAAACCATCTTAGGAAAGGGCAGGAAAACCCGCGATGAGTTCGTTCATAGTATTGGCACTTATACCACCTACACTTGTATTTCCACTCATCCCCCGTCTTTTCAGCACACTACATACCAGTCGCATGGGTAGCCTCGCACCCTGCCAAGGGCCAAGTCATGGATTCGAGTCCCGACAGAGTGAGTTTTCTCGCTTATTAAATCCTGGTCTCCGTTGGACGCGACGCGCTGCAGAGCTCGTTGTTAGTAAACTTGATCGACTTCGCAAGTCACGAGGGAAGGGATTGCTGTACCCTTCTCGCGATAAAAACATCTCAGGCAGGAACCGCAGGAGGGGGTCCAACCCCCCCCTCTTATGTGACCCCAGTTGGGTCGTCTAGCTGGTAGAAGTGGAGGATAGGGGCCAGAGGTGCAGACGACAGAGTCCAATGATGGGAGACAAAAAAAACAAAACAGTCGCATAGTACCGGAACACAATCGTTTGGCGCGGCACCCCAAGAAAGGGTTCCTCCCGCGAACCAAGAACGGAGCAACACGAGAATGTCCTGGAGGAAACAGGTTTGGATGACTCTTCACACACGAAATGTCACACCGTCTCAGGCCAATTCTAAGCTGCAAGATGCTGTGCGGAAAGGGGTCTACTTTCTTATCGCACCATGACATAAACTTCGGGCCAATTGAACCGGAGCAAGATCGATGAGCTACTACGAGGGGCACCCAAAAAACCAAGCAAGAATATCAACATGGATACTTCCAACTGGGAGTGAGATAGTGCCACTGGTGGCCCTCAGATTCCTCGGTCTCGGAGCTTATCTCTTGACGGACGTGTCAAGAACGGCAGTGGATCGAGTCTCCGCAGGCAACAACAATGGAGACGATACCAGCACCGTACAGCACACGTCCTTGACGTTCCTGGTGCCATCACCAAACTTCTAGTGGCGCCTCACAGCAACAGCGTTTGGATTTTCCACCGGGTGCGAATGAGGCAGCGCATCACACAGCATCCAGAAAAATACCATGACACTCTCTGTCATGAGACAGACCGCACGCAACGCTTTTCCGTCGAAAGGGCACGACTTGCAACCCGGAACCCCTCCAAGGAGGATCTTTTGGAACTCCCATCGGTGCATCCCATGGGATGGATCCAAAAAAAGAGCAAGATGCCCACGACTCATTCGAGACAATCGTGCCAATATCCTTTGTGCGATGCAATCCGTCTCCAAGCCTTGAACAAAAGAAAACAAACGAAAACACACACCCAACCTATCGTACACAAAAATCCAGACGCGCCCCCGAAACTTGAAACAAAAAAATCCTCGAAATCAACTTGCCTACAACCAAACAAAAAAACAACCAACAACCTGGTATTGTTTTACTTGACAACCAGTGACAACGAATTCAATGTAAACAAAGTTCTTCCAACATTCTCACCGGAAAGCTCGGCACAGCCCGATAAGCCGCGTTCCTCATGTTCTTCCTGGCTTCTCTCCTGTTGCCGCCGCCGTAGCTCCCCCCTCTGTCGTCGTCCTGCCTACCTTGGTATGAACCTCGATCCCGTCTGCCACGTCTGTCTCCGCCCCCGCCCCTGTCAACGCAAGCCCAAAGGAGCACCGATCGAACGTTGCATCAATTTAGAGCACGCACTCGGGTGGGACGTTGCACCAAGTCTTCGCGATATCAGCACGTGCACTCTCATTCGCCTTCGATTCAATCTCGCTCGACGCCATTTCCAAGATGGTTCTCTCGAAGTAGAAGAAAGAGTGGTCCGACACCACTGTGGTGGAAACAACAGAGCAGCATATCGACCCGGGGCGCGCGTACCTGTACCCGCGGCTGCCGTCGCCACCGCCGCCCCGTCCGTACTTGGATGATCTGTCGGAGCCCCCTCTGCCATCGTCGTTTCGCTGCGAGTATCGTTTCGCCGCCAAGAGGTCGTTTTCGTGGGACTCTAGCAGTTCCACGTTGATTCGCAACCTGATCTCAACCACCGCCGAGCCAAACGGGGGGGGG